TAGCACTAAGCTGAAACTTGCAAACTATAATACTTATAGAACAGACAGGACTATTTGTAGAGGCGGTGGGACCGCAATTTTCGAAAAAAGAAGCCTTTATACCGTACAATATAGCAATAACAATTGTGACGGATACGAGGAAACATCTATTCTTCTATACAAAAATAGCAGAGACTACTACAAAATTACTGCTATATACAATAATCCAGGACATATACTAACCAAAGATATGTTGGAAATTTTATTACCAGATGGAGTTAATTGTATAATAGGCGGAGACTTCAACGCCAAGAACGCTATTTGGGGTAATAGAGTAAACAACAAGCACGGCAAAGAACTCCATAAGCATATCCAAGACTTAAATCTTACGGCTATATCACCAATGGAACCCACTTATTTCCCTTATACACCCCATAAACAACCAGATCTACTTGACATTTTTATTGTCAATAACAACACCTCCATGTGTTGTCACACCCTTAATGAACTAAATAGCGACCACGTCCCGGTCATTGCTACGATAGGTACCACTATTGATCATGCTCCAACCTTCACCAAGAAAACCAACTGGGAACTATACTCAAATATCCTTACGCTGAACAGTAATAACTCAACCCCTAGCACCATAGATGACATAAACAGCGCTATTAACAACCTAACTAAAGAAATTCAGCAAGCCTATAATGATGCCACTAAAACTACATGGCACTCCCACAAGATCTAAGGGAGCAAATAGGTTACAAAAATTATATTAGAAAAAAGTGGCAAACTGATAGAAACCCAAGAGATAAAGCAGAATTAAACAGGCTCACTAAAGACATTAAGAAAAAATGTAAACAATACAGAAATGACAATAGGGAAGACAAAGTATCGAGCCTGTGCACAGAGGACCAAACGGTTTGGAAAATGTCTAAAACCTTAAAAACCACGAAAACTGTCAATAAGCCAATTATCTATGACAACAAAAATGTCTATAATGATGAGGATAAATTAAATATATTCGCTGATACGATTCAAGAGCAATTTCAACTAAATTAAACACCCTCTGATGAAAATGAAGACAAGGCCGTTGATAAGATCTATAATGATTATTTTAATAATCACAACAGCCTCAATAACTTAGATGAACTCCCCTATACTGAGATGATCAGTATTATCAAAAAACTCAATAACATAAAACCCCCAGGCATGGATAACGTTAATAATATCATGGTCAAATATCTGCCACAAAATAAACTCAATGACTTATGCAACATCAATAATGCCTGCCTGAGAAATAATATCTTTCCAGACATCTGGAGAAAAGCTACCATTATTTTGTTCCCCAAACCGGGGAAAGACTCTCGAATTGCGACTAACTTTAGACCAATAAGCCTACTACCAACATTTGGTAAGATTTTCGAACGAATTATACTAAACAGGCTGCAACCACTAATTGACTTTATTCCAAAAGAACAATTTGGGTTCAGAAAGGATCTGTCCGCCACAAAACAGCTCACCAGGCTAATTGACTTTATAAGCGACGGCCTTTACAAAAACGAAGCGACAGCACTGCTTATGCTAGACGTGGCGAAAGCATTCGACCGCGTCTGGCACAAAGCATTGATATCTAAACTGATCAAACAAGCACTTCCATATGGCATCATACATATAATTGATTCATACCTGAGTAAACGCACGTTCCAAATCAGACTCAACAACAAACTCTCAATTGAACGCCCAATAAATGCTGGCGTACCTCAGGGTAGTATTTTAGGCCCTGTATTATACTTAGTTTATACAAGTGACTTTCCGATCACTACTAATAATGCTAATTATATGATTGCTTTTTATGCAGATGACACGGCCATCGCATATTGCTCACTAAATCCTAACCAAGCCGTGAAAAAAACTAAATGACTACATGCCACCCATCGAAGATTGGTGCGCTAAGAATAAAATATCCATTAATGCTGATAAGTCTAAACTAATGATTATTAGAAAAAAGAAGAGACGCAAACCTATCACAAATAAAGTATCACTCTTCTCAATCTATGTACCAATTGTGGACAAAGCAGATTATCTTGGACTTATAATAAACGATAAACTTAACTGGAATGACTATGTTGAGAAAATCAAAAACAAATCACTTGCTGCCTTTTCATGCCTCAGAGCACTACTTAATGCAAAATCAAAACTACCGTTGAACCTAAAACGACTGCTATAAATTTCCTGCATACGACCTATTATTACTTATGCCAGCCCTGCATAGAGATGCCTGAACAAAACCCAAATAAAAAAGCTAGAAGTGATACAAAACAAGATCATACGAAGGATTACAGGGGCACCATGGCACATTAGCAATAAGGCCCTTAGAAGAGATCTAGATCTGGAGACTATAAATGAACATATGAACAAATTAAGTGCAGGGTTCTATAGTGCGGCTATGAATAGCACAACATCAGACTTTAATCTCATCTTCAACAAAGAACTGATACACGATATCAAAAACTATAACCCTATCACAAACTTTTTACTATCGGATATGACTTTATCCAAACACTTTAAGACCGCATACAATTAAAAAACAGACACAAACACTCATAGACATGACTCTAGGCCTACAGCGAACCCGGTGAAGGAGCAACCCTGTAGGGTCCCATCCGAGCAAGCTGTAGGTCTATTAAACTTAAAACGATGAGCAACCCGGTACGAGCAGTCGTTTACCGGGACGACCGGGTCATCGTTATATCAGAGGCTCACACTAATTGATATATAAACAATGCCAATATGTAAATAATGTATATACATAATATTTTAATTTTCCTTAATTATCAATCTGTAAATTATCTTGTACATATTTTTTTCAGTTCATTGTTTCTTTAACATGCTAATGACTCTAGGGACCTTCCCAGTAATTAACCTTATAGATAGCTAACCAATGTGAGTATACTTCATTTTCTTTTCCCTGAACCAAAGCCACTAGTCTCAGTTGCCGTAGGGCCAGTGAATAGATAAAGAAGTGAGGTGCCCGCATTCGCGGGCAGGTACTTCGACAAACCACGTATCCAAGTCCAAATTTCTTTCTGTTCTATTCAAGATCTCTTTCCACCACAATACGAATGTATTATTCTTGGTGATCTGAACTCTAAAAATAAAATATGGGCTGTGTTAAGGACAACACCCCCGGCGAACAGCTTCACAAGCTGGTCAAAAAATACAATCTTACTGTATATGCTCCATCCGATCCAACATATATGCCCATGAGTACTGCTCACACTCATGATATTCTGGATATTCTTATAACCAACTCTAATAATCCCCTCACTATAAATGTTCTGTATGAACTCAGTAGTGATCATCTCCCTATTTTCGTCACGGCTATGTTTAAAAGACAGGATAAAACCAGAACTAAAACCAAAACTGAATGGCATTCATATGTGAATAGCCTCACAGAATTATCAAACCATTCAAATGATCTTAGCATGGATGTGGAAATTGAGAATGAGATCACAAACTTAACCAAGGACATTCAAGACGCCTGTAACGGCGGAAAATGGAAATGGAAATAAGAAATGATTACTATAAGCTCCCATATTATATTAAGTGTCTCATCAAAATTAAAAACAAACTGAGAAAGGTCTTTCAAAGGACCAGAGACCCTAATATCAAAACCCAAGTTAGTAGCTATACCAAGCTCATCAAAAAAGAAATTACTGATTTTAAAAAGGAGACTTGGGAGGATATAAGGTAGAGAGTCTTACTACACAAGATAAAACAGCCTGGAATATGGTTCGGGCTCTCAAAAGCACTAGAACAACAAATATGCCTCTCCTAGGGCCCAGGGGTAAAACATACTCAGACATCGATAACAGCGAAAATCGAAGAGTAGACGCCATGGAAACTCAATTTTCCTTTAATAGTGAACCTAGTAATATCACTAACGATGTGAATGTTCTTAGTACCTATAATGAGTATATCAGCTCGCATTCCCCAAACAGTGATAATGAGCCTATCACTGTAGATGAGCTCTATAGTATCATTGACAAATTTCAAAATAATAAAGCTCCGGGGATGGATCATAGAGCAACTTAAAAATATCCTAAATTCATGCCTGAATAACTGCTACTTCCCTCAGCAGTGGAAACATGCCCAGATTGCGCTGTTCCCCAAACAGGGCGAGAATCTCTTAAAACCTGACAGCTACAGGCCCATAAGTTTGTTAAAGGCCTTCTCAAAAATTTATGAAAGAGCCATCCTTAACAGATTAAAACCCTTCCTTACTTTCATACCGAACGAACAGTTTGGCTTCCGTAATTGTCTTTCAACCACGAAACAGCTGGTGCGTATTGTTGAGGAAATTTCGAGGAGTTTCTACAAAAATGAAACTACTGCCCTCCTGATGTTGGACGTGACCAAAGCTTTTAACCGCGTCTGGCATCAGGGAGTTTCTACAAAAATGAGACTACTGCCCTCCTGATGTTGGACGTGGCCAAAGCTTTTGACCGCGTCTGGCATCAGGGCCTTATCTACAAATTAATTAGCTCCAAAATCCCAAATGACCTGATTCTACTAATAAATAGCTACTTAAATAACAGGACTTTTCACATTAAAGTTAATGACTGCACATCCACAGTCAGATCAATTCATGCCGGAGTACCTCAGGGCTCGATACTGGGCCCAACCCTCTATCTAATCTACTCTGCCGACTTCCCAAATTTCATCGAGAAAGATAACATTTATACTGCATATTACGCTGATGACGCAGCGATTCTCAGCAAATCCCTGAATCCCAACCACGCTATTAAGAATCTAAAGCAAATCATCCCAAACATTGAGGAATGGTGTGCAAACTGGAAAATCTCCATTAATGCTAGCAAATCATCTCTACTTATTATGAGAAAGAGCAGTAAGAAGAAAATTAAGAATAGTGACCTCCTGTTATTCAATGAACTAATTCCAGTGGTTAAAAAAGCAACCTTCTTACGAGTGACCCTCACCCATAACATGAAATGGAATTCTCATAACTCGAGAATATCTGCTAAGGCTGAAGGTGCATTCCAATCCCTCAAACCAATTCTGAGCCATAACTCAAAATTAGCCCTCAAAACGAAAAGAACCTTATGCCTGCAATGTATAAGACCAAATATCAGTTATGCAGCCCCAGCTTGGAGCGCTTTAAACCCCACACAAAGGCGAAAACTGGAAAACATCCAAAATAAAATGATCAGAAGATTCACGGGAGCTCCCCGCAGACTTTGAATGAGCGATATTAGAAATGACCTAAAAATTAACTCTATGCAAGAACACATAGTTCTAGTCTGTGCCACTTTTTTCAAAGACGCGACAAGCTGCACAATATGCAACTACAACCAAATTTTTGACTTTGAACTTCTCAGAGATAACATTAACCACTGCCCGGAAACGGTATTTTTTCTCTCAGACGGCGTTCTCTCAGTAGTGGAAAAATGGGGGTTCTGCCTCATTTTGGAATCGGCTACTGCCTCACTTAGGGTCTATGATCTCCCGACTTCACTCACTACCTTGAGATACTGCCTCACTTAGGGATTCTACCTTACATAGTTCAATGACCTCACGACTTATCAGTTCCTTCCGATCAAAATTTTTTATTATTATTATTTATTTAAATTTTTTTTTCAATACACATGGCTCCACCTAGTGTAAGAATGAGAAACTAAAATCTAAGAAAATGAAAATATTCAAAGCTTAATTTTGCTTGTTACTCCTACTGACATCTAGTGAATAAAATAGTTACCATTGTCTATTTAAATAGAGTAAAAACATTTGAAAAATATATATGTGTATATAAAAAAAATATTTAACTCAAGTTTCAAACCCTCGATCTCATGATCTTAACATAAAATACATTCCTACCATGCTGATTTAGCCACGACGCTAACCAACATGCTAGGAATGTACGTAGAGCAATTGGAGATATAAAGTTTTACTCTTTTCTTTAAGTTAATTAATTTTTTAGTGTAAATAATTGCTCATGCTGCTACATGGTGAAGAAGCTTCATCTTAAATTACGTGAAATAGAAAATATTTAAAAAAAAAATTTCATGGTGCTCATGGCGACATCTACTGGTTAAACTATGAAGTTTGAAAAAATGAAGAGATTTTTGAAAAATAAATTATACATAAAGATGTACGAGACAAGCCTCGAACCAGACAACCTCATCACTTCGACTTAAAATGTCTCAATGGCATAGTGGTTTAACGCTCGTCCTAACCACTATGCTATTGAGACATGCAAATGGATAATCAATACATGTTGTCTTTCAGTTGCTTTTTATAAAAATGAAACCCTTGCATGGAGTAGATTATATTTTTACTCGTTGTTTATCATTGTTATTCAGTATAAATATTTCTTAAACTAATTTAATAAATATGATATTTTAATTTTGTTTTACATAATTTAATTTGTGATTTTAAAAAAATTATGTAGATAGATGTATATGTTACCTTAGGATGAATGACGAGTAACAATTTGAAATAATGCAAGGAAAATAAAATTAACTCTATGCCTATTACTCTATGCAATTATCCTATAAAATGAATAATGAATGTTTTTTTTTAAAACGTATTAAATCACTTAACTGTGTCATTAAAAAGAAATGCAAAAATTATAAAGTAAATACGAACAAAAATACAAAATAAATAAACACCTTTATTTACATGATTTATTAAGAATACAAACGAACAGTTTTTACAAAAGCCCTCATTCACAGAAACAATTTTGAGGGAACAGAAAAGTGGAGTGTTTAATACATAAACAGGTGGAGTCGCATTTCTGCTGTAGACAACAATTATAAATTTTACACATTATTTCAGAAAAAAAAAATATGTAAGGCATAAATAAAAAAATAAAATGAAATAGATAGTTGTATATTGATGACTTACATTCAATAGCATATATTTAATTGTGCCTCCGCTCTTATTACTTCAATTCACAAGAAATAGTAATAAATAAATGAATAAAATAATTAAAATGTAATTGATGAAATTACTAAATGAAATAAAGAGACGCAGTTAATGAATTAACTGAATGAACACTTAAATTACATAGTGTTAATTTTGAAATGACCATGAGCCATTGTGTCACATTCATTTTCCAAAATGTACCTTTTGTCGTCAAAAGAACAAAGCGCTATTTTATTTGTAGTTACAGAATAAAGCTGATGATTTTTCGAGACGATGGATTTCATGTTTTCTCTTACTCGAGAATTCTCGAAAAGACATTTCTTATAATTACTATGTTTTAATTTTTTTTCTCTAACATTTTTTACTACACCTTTAGCTGTTTTTTTCTCGCCCTCCTCGCTTGACAAAGAGTACATTTTGGAACGGAGTCCAACAAACTCTCGCACTACAACGCCGTGTAATTCGTCTTTCATTTTGCCGAAGACTTTCTTGTTTTTATCGCTGTACAAAAAATGGTTTTGGGGATAGTCTGACGTATCATATAAATCTATATTTTCGATCATGTCGTGGTAAATATCTTCAGTTCGAATTTCGTAGCAGAGAGAATCTGTATCCGTAAATAGCAATTTTGCATTAGAACCATATTTATTTTTTATGTGTAGGTAGTGGAATTCATAGATAAATATCTTACTGATATCTAAGACGGAAAAGCCCGTGTATAATGGTCGATTCAGAGTAAGAGATGTGACATGTCGCGAAATAATAACCAAATTATCATCTATGATGTTGAAACAACGAAAGGAGGGGGAGGCCATCATTTTTAGTGCTTTTTTCTTATCAATTATAATGTCTATATTTTCGCGATTTCGAAGATTCTCCATAGTTTTGCCAAAAACACTGTTGTTCATTAGTTTATAAAAATCTTTGTCGAAAGAGTTTTTCGCTCTTTTCCTCATATCGGTATTAAAGTTAATTAATGGTTGAAGCCAAGCTTCCTGTTTAAAACATAGAATTTTATATATTTTCTTTAATCGCATTCCTAATTGTAAATATAACTTTAAATTTCTGTAATGTAAAATGTAATGGTTCTTATCTTTTAAATTAGGAATTAATTTTGAGACGTTAGAGTATTTAGTCACATTTAATTCTGCTGCCACTCTTCGTGAGTAAGGAGATAGCATATCATTTGTTACTTTTAGTTGCTCAGGCGTGACAGGTAAATTATTGTGTAAATCATGGAGGCCTGCAGGATATTCTAAGTCTACTTCTAATATCATCCCCTCTTCTTGATCGTCAGTCATGTTTAAAATGTCATTTTCACTGACATCTAAATTTTCTGACCAATGGAAATCTTTTGTTGGTAAGTGGGACAGCATTGCTCTCCCATACAAGTTATTATAATCCAGATATACAATATAAGAGGAGGGAATGTTCGCGTCATAGCCACCACTCATATACTTGTTGTTAGCCTGCGCATAGCGATTGGAGATTATTGAAACCCCACCTCGTATCCCTTTTTCGACAAAGAGATGCATAGTTGGATCCGTTAGTAGGTGCAATTCTACTTTGGTCATCTTCAAACAGCTGGCCCAACTGACCCCTGGAGCGGTATAACAATGAGTTGGGTCAATCTCGTACTGTGCTAAGCACAAAGCTCTGAATTTCTCGAATACGTCGGCGAGAAGGAGTGTATCTGTTTTTACGTATAGATTATGGTAGTCTTTTAATGTTTGCATGTTGAAAGTTTGGAATACAGCGCGTGCATGATTGTACTCTGATTCGCTAATCTGCTCATCATTTAAACTATTGAAGAAACTCCCCGTGGAGGTAATTGAGTTTCATCAAATTTACTCATGCAATCGAAATATTCATAGCGGTAAACACCCTTGCGCTTTAAAAGGGGGAGTTGATTGCTGGGAAATTGGGAAGACAACACGGGAAATTCGTCATCATCTAAATTGGAGACTAATTTATTGAGGGAGGGGGGTAAAAATTGGAATGAATCTAAAAATTGAAGATGACCGACGGAGAATGTGATAAACTTTTGCGCGTTAGTTGCAATACATGATATTTTTTTTCTTCCAATTTTGCTTTAAGTTTTAGTAATATGATGACTGTCATACCCTTTTAAGTTGTGAAAGATAACGGGAATTTTTTTTTAATCAACTTATAATTTAAATTGCAACTTGGATGTAATGCACCGCGATATTTAAATGTAATATGACAGTGGTTCCTAACTCGTTCACTACTTAATGGTTCTTTACAGACAAAACAGTGTGTTTCGTTTAAAAATGCCTGTTGTTCCTCTGCTGACAACCGCATTTGCTTATTGATGGAAAGCAAATCTGGAATCATTTTCTCTTCACCTAGTAAACAATGCATAAAATGTTCTGCGGCGTTTTCCCCGTGATAGACGACTGGTGGCTTAACGCATTTCCCTTCAATGTCTATAATGACATAAGAATATCCGCAAGGCACATGCCGAGAATTAATTTCTGTGTGCGATCCTAAATTAGAGGTATTTTGCTCTAGAATGCACTCGAAGTCAGCGTAGATGACATAAGGTATTTTATGCGTCATGTGCACTGATTTGAATTTTAAAATACGATCTTCATCGCTAGGCATTGCTATTTTTTGTATTTTATGCTCTTTACAATAGGTAATATGATCATCGAGTGCACTTCTAGAGTAAAAGCGATGGAGACAAAAGTCACAATAAAAAGTTGCCGACTTATGCGTAGCAATCTACTCATGCTTTTAATTAAACAAAAATGTTGCGTTTCCTCCTTCGATATCAGTAAGAGATTAATATGATGTACACCGGATCGATTTATAGATAAGTGAAGGGGAAATATGTTACTTTCCTCACGACCGAATACATTTATTGACAAGTTATTTAACTTTTCAAATTTAGATACTTTGCTTAATTTCATGGGGAACGTTATGCCTGTTAAATTTAGCTCATGCTCGAACTCTCTATATTTGCTAACGCGATTCGCATTCTTGGTATCATTACACGGGTGAAGGCTTGCTAAAATTGCCCAGAGGAAACATTTAGAGTCAGAATTTTTTATGTTTAAAACCGCTTTCTTCTTCGCTATTTCAGGGGGAAGAGGAATATAAGATGAACCGCTTAACGGTACATATTTTAAAGTATTTAATTCTAAATGGTTCACCTCCTCCAAAACCCATCCACTCCCTCTATCGATGAATTCATCGAATGATGAAATAATTTTCGCGAAGGCACAATTAATTTGCTCTCCCAAACTATTACAATTTAGAGATATAACATTGCAACTGCGGAAAAAGGAGGTAGCTAATTCACGCTCCTCATTATGTCCTTTCCTTGAAAACAGAGCCTTAAGGCATAAGTACCATTTAATGGATGACGAGAGAATATCTAATTGAAGAGTTTCTTCTAGCTTTAATTCTACGTCTTTTAAGAAAAGAAGTAAATCATGGTTCTTACTGCTATGGAATAGACGGCTTCGAACAATTCCTTCAAAGGCCGATCTGTCGCACTGCTCTCCCACAGGGTCGATCCGAGCTGCCTCACTCCTGTTCGGGGGGTCCCCTGCTGGGTCACTCCAAATTCTCTTAGAAGTATGTAAAAGGAAAGGAAAAAAAATGTTAAATAAGTTAAACTATTCATGAAACAATTATTATGTCAACACAATAGAAGGAGTTACAATAAGTTTTTTTCTTTTCATTCCTTAAATTTATTTTTTGAATTTATTTCATGCATTATAAACGCATTATCGTGTTTACATTTACTCATTTATTTAACTTAATTTAGTTTTATTTCCCTAATATATTCTGAATGGATTCCTTTATAGTTTTTCATTCAATAGGTAGATGGATTACATACTTTAATAATGTATAATTTATTTTATAAGGGGAGAAAAAAAATCTAAAGAATAAACTTACGTACGCTTGGAGTGTGTTGGTCCACTATATCTGCATCAGAGTATCTTTGTTCTGTTCGTCTTTGAAAATGCGAAAATTTCCCCTTTTATTTTCTAAGACAATATTTTTTTTTACTTTTATATCTATAATAGCAAAATATATTCACAAATTAAATGGTAATTCATAATAAAATGGTAAATAGCAAATTTTAGGGTGAATGAAAACTTAGTAAGCATAATTTTCTTTTCTGTTTTAAGATTATCTATTAAATATTAGCTAAGTTATTCTAAAGATATTCACTTATATTAATTTGTTATTATTAAACTAGCATTATTTGCTTTTATTCAAATATTACTTTAAATTATCTTAATGTATGCAATTAATTCTACTTCAAACAGTTTTTAACGAATTTATGCAACGTGTTAAAAAAAAAAAAAAGAGAATTTCTTTTGAATTACTTTTGCATAATTCATTTGCATACAGAATGGTAAATCATAAGAAAAAAAATATCCTGTGTCAGCAAACAATTGAGAGAATTTTGTTATTAAAAATGTGTTCAATGAAACCCAATTAATAATATTTGTATTAAAATAAAATCACGAATAATCCCTATGGCTAGACTGACAGCAACGAAATTGTATAACTAAAAGTTCTAACAAAGCTCTTACGACTTGGCACCCTTGTCTTCTGAGTTGGGTTCAATATAAGAGCGTAATAAAAAGACCGGAATATAAAGAGAGGAAACTTTTTCAATAAAATGGTTTTTGAATTATTATAAAGTTGCTAATAAATTTAGATACATAATTAACAAACTTTTCTTATTATTTATTTTCTGAATTTTTCTATCCTCTTAATTTTTTTGTTTTAAATATTCCTAGAAAGAAAGATATTTTTAGTCTTATAACTATAATATCGAAATATACTCGAAAATTTGTTTAATTTGACATTAAACAGAGTTCCCACGGTCCTTAAAAGTCCTTAAAAACTGCTTAGTTTTTATTTTAAAAATTAAGGGCCCTTAAAAGTACTTAATTTTGATTCAAGGTTCTTAAAAGTCCTTAATTTCTAGTATCACTAGTTGGTTGGAACAATTTTTTTATCTTAGGAAAATATCCACAGTTAAAAAGTACGTCTTTCGCCAAGAATGAGACCCTGCCTGCATCGAGGGTAGAACATTTTGAATGCGTGTGAGGGTAGGGGTTACAAGCAAGTGAAAGAAAACACGCCCTTATTGTTTATTTTATTATTTTTTTTTAATTAAATATTCTTTCTTTCTGGATCGTTCCGAAAGAAAAAAATTTAGTGTGGGGAGAAGGGAACGTGATACTGCAGGTGGGTAGAGGTCTTGACTTACTTTTAGACAGTACTTAGGTACTTAATCATCAGCTGAAGACCTGCATTGACCTTCTACATCAGTGTTTCCCAAACTTATTACTACCCTTTCTAAATTTTTCGTAACGCTGTGTTCCATTAATAAAAAAAAGCTTTTTTCTGTAAAAAAATGGCACAAAAGTTAAAAATCACAACTAGCTGTTGACACTACTAATTATTAACAGTTAACTCTGCATAATAGGAAAATTCGTAATAGTAAATTTTTATGGCTTGCTTTGTAACTAAAATTTTATGAAATTTCTGTTTGTTGTAAGATATTTCGTATAAGAACGCGTACCCCCGCTAAACTGTTCCTGTAACCCTTCAAGTACGCGTACCACACTTTCGGATATACTGTTCTACATCCATAGGATTCGAGAAATTCAATTCTTCTTATAGCACACATGGTAGCTTTGATGCTTCATTCAAATGTGAAATTGTTAAAAATGCCAGGAAAGTGTGTTTTTAATATTTTATGGACACTTGATGAAAAATATAAGGAATGGCTAACAGCATCTAGTGATGTCACAAATCAAAGTAGATTTTTTCATTGTATCATATTTTCTTCTGAAATTGAATTTTATAAATGACTCAATTTTTTAATATTAGGGACATTACGTTAACAGCGTTTCTGATATATTTTATCTCCACTTTTTCTTTTCAAGTTATACAGATAATTAGATTATCGGTGATATAGAAAATTGATTTTCTACGTTGCAAGTTTTGTTTTAAGAATTTAGGAAAATTTTCTGTTTCTCTTTTGCTTTTTTGATTAATTGTGATTTTTTTTTATTTATATTGATAGTATGTTTTAAAGAGCCTTCTTTTTCGTCATTTTTTCTAAAAATCCGGCGATGGGAAACGCTTAAAGTGTAATTTTCAACGTTAAATTTTTCTTATAAAAATTGAGAGTGATTTTTTATTTTTATTTCTGTTTGACTTTCCTATTTAAAAAAAAAACTCTTGTTTTTGTTATGATGCGGCAATTTTAACGAGCACTACTCTTAGACATTTTGAAATCGATGTATCGCGAATTATCGACTTAACGCACATATCGGCAGTCCGATATAATTACTTTCATTTTAGGCGATGCATCAGGAATCTGATTTAAGACGACGCTCGTGGTTTAACGTGGTTAACCTATGCTAACGCTATCACAGCGCTGACGAAGACTATTTTGATTTCGTCTAGCTGCAAAGATGTTTATTACATTTTTAGCTACGAAAATGATGTTCGTTTCGTTATATATATTGTATAACGACGAGAGAGGATCAGCATATGCGATGCATAGTTTCTTTATGCGCCATTTTTGACCACGGGATTTTACGTTTCTTGAAGATTATTTTCAGCTGGACTTATTTTGCGATCGCTGTGCGTTTTATTTCGACGGGATATAACGTTTCATGTAAATTATTTTCAGTGAGACTTTTGCTACTTAGCGATCGTTGTGCATTATTTC